TTGCAGAAGTTGCTGTGCTAACCGCTTTGCTACAAAGTTGTGGCATCTGCTATGATGAAGAAATATATTTCATGGTAAAAATACATGGAATAGTTGAGTATATTTTTGGAGAAAATGTGATTTATCTCACTGAAGCATCTCACAATCCCACCTAAATCTAGCCCTTGGTTAATACCAAAGGAACACAACCTACCATTCTGTTTCATACAAGGGAGCATATACCTCAGACCTGGGGCCAGGTTTCCTTGTTATGCTCACGGGGAAATAAATTTACTGCATACAATAATGCAACACACATGGCTAATGGGGAAGACGAACCATTTCATAAATCCATAAGAAAATGAGGATTGATTCGGGCAGCATTATTAGAGGTTCCTAAAATATGCTTCACATGTGCATGCATGAATATGACTTCACATGTAAACAGCACTCCTCTCAACTCAGCAGGCACCAGTGAGAGCTGAGGTGAGTGGCTTTGCTGGCTCTAGATTGCTGGCTCTAGGTTGCAACTCTAGGTTGCAGTTTGTGCCTATTTCCTTGGAGAATATCACATTCATTAGAATCGCTTTCTTAACTTACCTCAATGCTTCCCAAGATAGTTATCAGGGGCAGAAAGGCAGAAGGCCTTCTTCCCACCCCACTAAATGCTCTGAGCCTTGCAAACACTTCTCCTTGGTGCACCCAGAGGGGAGGAGAGGGAGGAAAGGCCTGAAGGAAGGAGGGCAGCAGGGTTATCCTGCAGCCTGCAGGCCCCAGCACACAGAGCTTTCCTCCCCAGGGCCTTCCTCACCCATGTCCTTGTTCCATGCAACTACCAGCAAACCCCAGACAGAGAAAAGTTGCAGAACTGCTGTTTTTGATGGGCTTGCAGCCACAGTGGACCTGGGAAACCAACTTGGGGCCATGCTGTGTGTGCTAGCAGGACACCCTCCAGGGAAATGTTGGTTCCAGAAGAGTTTGCCTGGCTGAAAAGGTGGTGGTGACACCATAGGGCATGTGGTGGGGAAGGAGAAGCTGTGTAGGAGCCTACAGTTCCAAAGCCACCAGCCCTGGCCTGAGCACAGCTCTGGGCAAGGAAATTCAGGAATTAAAAATTAAAGTTTGCCATCTAGTGGTAGGCCTCAGGAGATGCTTTAGGACACAGCCGCCCCAGACCCCAGATTTATAGGTGATGGGTTCGTGATTTCTAAAAAATATGATGTGTTTATTTTTATTAACACTGGATGACCCATAGAAATCGTGAAAGAGGGATTTTTAATCTTGGCAAATTGCTTGCTCATACATGGTGTTATACCTGGACTGGAGAAGCCTGACTGACATCCACAGGACATAGTTCTGTGTATGAAATCCTGAATGATACATGGAGAAAAAAAAAAAAAAAAAGCCACCATAAAAGCATTCACTATAAAATAAAAATGAGACAATAAAACGCAATCATTTCCCAGCAGTTCCTTCTTTTGTGTGGGACAGTGGTAGTTCCCAGGGGATTACCTCTGTGTTTTCTCTGAAGTTTTTACTTCTCCTCTGAGCTTAGTTTGTGTGATACTCTGCAGAAGCACATCCTATTACAAGAGTCCCTTATAGCCTTGTCTGAGCAGTGCAGGCCAATTGAATGGGATTGTATGTGTCTATGGGATCCCTATGGAGACCTCCTCTGCTGGGATCACTGATGGTTTATTTCTGTGAGAATGAACCATGTGAGACAGCAGGAACAGGGGCACTGGTTTCTGAAGGGAAGAAAAGGCTGAGGATCCTTCATGGAGAAAGCTAGCAAAAATGTCTGTACCTCAGAAAACAGCCTGGAGAGAGGGAAAAGGAAAGGTCTGGAAGGTAATGGGGTGTATGATCTACTTGGGTGCCCAGATTGCAATTAATGAACTGTGGGCATTCAGCCTAATGCCTACACAATCCCTTGTGCTCCACACACAACATTTCTGTTAGCAGAACTCCAGGTGGAATTAGCAATTTTTGCAGCATAATCACATTGTTGAGTCATACTTAATTTATGAACTGCTATGCACACGAGATAATTTTATCATATTGATACTGAGCTGATTATTTCCCATTTTGTATTTCTGCGTATGATATCTCCTTCTGCAGTATGGTGCTTCACCTTGTTGATCTGAGACCATCTCTTCAATTTATCATTTTGCGTTATGATCCCATCTGCCAGACTGAGAAGATTTCACAAGTGTACTCTGTATTTATCCTCCAAATCACTAATAACAATATTGATGAACATCAGACCTGAAGATCTCCATACATCTGCTCAGGATGCTCACTTGACATTTACTTCCAGCTTGACATTAAGTCATTTGCAGAAACTCCTTGAGAGTTTTTTCATCTATTTGTATATACACTCATAATCATAATTTTGTATAAACTGTATTTTGCTAGCTTATATGTATGAATACAGGTTACTGGCACCAAAAATTATGTTAAACGTATTGCCTGGTGTTTCTTCCAGTCATCAGTATTTGAAATTTGGAACTGATGAAGAATAAGCCACTAAATTTATGTTGAAAGCCCAGAGGGGATAAATGCCCTGCACTTTTGAGTTCGACTTAGTGTGCAGTTTCAGCACAACAGAAATATTTGCTGATGAGGAAGATACTCCTTAATATAGCACACGGACAGAAATGATGCAAGTGCCTACTAGGCCTAAGAGAGAATTTCTATGCTTCTGGTAAAAAGTTAAAAAAAAAAAAAAAAAAAAAGACTTAATAACCATAACTGTGTCAGTTTTACTGCTAGCACATAATTAGCTCAGAAGAAGAGGATTTCAGAATGTCCACAGCATAACTGCTTCTCTCTATTTAGGTAATCTGCTTCTGATTCAGAAGCTTCAATTCATGTTAATTTTTTATGTATAAGAATATCTTCAGGGTCTATATTCCCAGAGCAGGGGCAGGAGGATGTTCCTTCCCAGATCTGGATTTTGTAGTTTGCAAAGGAAAAGTATTCAACCTAAGAGAAGGAAAAAACAAAACAAACCAAAACAAAAAAAAACCAAACACCACAAGTTTATGAAAGGGCTTGGCTTTTCACTGCACGGGACTGCTCATATGTGACACCTCTATTTCAGGCATGGGCTGGAGGATTTCAGGATGCCATCAATCTGAAATGTAGCATCCACATACAGGCCCTCCCAGGTAGGTGCTTGGGAAGAGGCCAGGAAAGTGTTAGACCTGTGATGGAAACAAAGGAATCAGGTAACAACCTTTCCCCATGAAAGCCTCCATCGAGGGAGTGCAATCAAGGAGGCGATCTTGAGAGACAGGGCCAGCAAAGGCACATGGGATGAGAAGGCAGCAGGGACCTCTAAGCCCAGCCCTGCTGCTTTTAGGGGTTCTCCTGTCTTCTTGAGTTCCTATTGCTTTTTCTGTCTAATCAGTGCAGAGGTAAATGGCATTTTGTAGGTGGCTGCATCACAACATGATGACCAAACGTCGTGTCCCATGAAATCCATGATGGCAGTGAAGGATGAATCACACCACCGCTGATTCAGCTCCCATGTAGAGTCACTGTAGGTGTTCAATGCGTCTGTACCGGGCTTCAGAGAGTAAATCGCACAGAAGTCAGGCTGGGAGACTTTCCAGTTTACAGCAGTTTGGACAGTGCTGTTCTGATGCCCTTCTCAAGCCACAATCTTTTCTCCTCTTGGATGGAGGTTTGGCTGCACGCTCTCCCCAGCCGCCTGCTGGTCCTTGAGGCCACCAGCAGCCTCAACGAGGCCGAGCAACTCGGGAGGTGCAGCAGCGACCCGGCTCCTCCTGCCCACCCCGCTAGGTGGCCCTGCGAGCCCGGCCAACAGCCGGGGCTGCTCGCCCTGCACAACGCAGGCACAGCACTGCACTGACAGCAGCCCAGCAAACGCGTCGGAAACAACGTCTTTTAAAGCAAAAATAAGAGTAATAATATATATATATTTCCTTTCCCTAATCTTCCTTTTTGAAGCAGCTCCAAATTCACAGCGTGCAAAATTGTGCTGATGGTTGGACAAGGTGGTCTTAGTGGCCTTTTCCAATCTTAGTGGTTCTATGATTCTAAATGCAAAAGGCAGCTAGCTCTGTTTTGCCACACGGTGGGAAGGATGGTTTCTCCTCCTGGTTAGCACCGAGGCAACGGACTGCTCTGACTGTGCCTCCAAATTCTGCTGGTGCCTGACAAATGACACAGCAATTCCTTACCCCAGTTTAGCCCTTACAAGAGACAGTGCTCTGATTCCTCCACTGTGATGTTGTGAAGCGAAACGAAGGGTGAAAATATTCTTTTTGGCTTCCCAGATAGAAACATGCAGCAACAACAACAAAATTTGATTACTGTCAATGTGTGGATGTTCACAGTCTCACGGCAAATGCCTCATTCTGACAGTAAATAGGGGTAGGTGGAGGCAGGCATCTACAGCCTCAGGCTGGATTAGGCATTACAGGCATGTTCAGTGGCTGCCTCTGGAAAGCAGAGATCTTGCTTTGTTGCTCTGAGCTGCTCAGGTAATCCCTGAAGTGCTTCCAGAGGTCAGCAGAGGAGGGGAGGAAAGAGGAGACACTAAAGGAAGCGCATGCAGATGTGGTTTCTGGGGGCCTGTGAAGGAGAGGAAGCAGGAGGTAAAAGCTGGAATGTGTGCATGGATTATGTGTGTATTTATTATTTAATGCCTTGTCTCCTCATAGCGCTGAATCCGGGGAGAGGGAAAAAAATCTTTCCTGTATGAGCTGGAGAAATCCACACCACATTTCTGCATTTCTCTTTCCTGATCCGTCAAACAAGGGCACCAGCATTTAGCAGCCTCTAGCTGAGGCTCCCTTACAAATAGCCTAAGATCTTCAGGAAGGAGAAGGGAAAACAGGCAGCAGAACTGAGGTTTCTGAAGCCATTGTATATGGAGATTTCTGCAGTAGAAATCTCTTCTTATGAAGGTTCTGTGTTTTGGAGCCATCAGTGGAGATTGGGGCCTGCTGTGTCATGCACTGTACAAACACACAGGGAGAGACAATCCCTGCCACAAAGGACATTCTATTTAAATAGACATGACAGAGGAAAAACAAAGGGAGAAATTGAAATGAGTTGACCAGCTCAGGGTTACACCAGTCGGTGCCAAAGCCAGAGGCAGCAGTTGGTATCCTGATTTCTAGCCCAGCAATCTGTTTTTTCTCATGACCAACCACCTTTTGCTGCTCTAATGCTTACAGGGTGTTAATGGTACTACATATAATTATATTTTACTTGGCATTTTTAACTAGTGTGAGCTTTATGCATAAGCACACACACCACTGAACTCAGCCACCCCAGCTCCCAGCCTATGAGGGGTTTGGAGGGCATTAAATAGCACCTATAAGGTGACCTGCAGAGCAGAAACGTGACACAAGGAATGGGAAGGGAGGAGAGTCCAACTCTTGTGAAATCTAGCCATTGAAACACCTTCACATCTTGCAACACCAAGTCAAAAAATTTTTGTCTTAAAGATTTAAGAGCAGACATAGGAAGAACTGTATTTATCTCACATTAATCACCTAGGCAACGGGGAAAGCAGAAATGAGCTTCTCTTTCTACTGTGTTGTATAATTTGCAAGTTTATTCAAATGCCTGTTCTGACGTATCAGAAATACTTCTGGTTCTACTAAAAATTAGCACTTTTAAGAACCAAAAAAGGTATCAATAAAGCAATCAGATTTGGTTTGTAGCTCTTCCTTTGATCCAGGCATTGCGTGCCTGCATGCCCAGATAGTTATCTGATGTCCTACAATCTGCATTAGAAGTAGAGCCACATTTTAATCTCTCCTTTAGGGGTTCCCACATCTGCAGAGCCCTGGTTCCAACAGCCAGATTTGATTGAGTCCACAGCCAAGGAATGGGCTGGGAATTGTCCTTTCCTTCGCCAGCCAGCAGGAAACAGTTAAAAGCCTCTTCCTCAAGCCTGAAAGGTGTTACAAAGGATATATCCCAAAAATGAAATAACACTATGCACACGCAGACCTGAAGCTTGTGTTATAATAGTGTAACACAGCTTTTAGTGAGCTAAAAGCAATCCAGCCTGCCGTAGGATCTTGCAGGATTCAAGCCTCTGCTGGTATCTTGCTTGGCCAAGGAGACAGGAAAGCTGTATCTCTTAGCAAGGGAGAACAGCAAGGTCATACTTCTCCAGGGGCTTCAGTCAAATCCAAAGTTATTTCTGTTAATAAGAGAAATGTTAGCGTTAGTATCTGCTACATTGCACAAGGATGTAAAAACAGATGGGTTAAAAATTCTCTGTTGAAACTTATCCATGGTCAGAAAATCAGATCTTTAAAACACCAAATAATTCACAGTTACATTCTAAAAAAGAACAGGTTAATTTTCATTTAGTTGTTTCTCTTCTTATCCAGACTGCATTTTGCATCTGACAGATTTTATTTCCACAGACCTCTTCATTTCCTAAATGGGAAAAAAAAAAAAAGAAAGAAAAAAGAAAAAAAGAAAACCCTTCATCCTAGATGGTCCTTCCAGAAAACAACAATTTTATTCCCCCCCAACCCCCCCACTTTGGTACTGTCTTTATTTACATTGTTTCAAAACCTATTTTCCTTGAAAAGAAATGTTGATGAGGTTTGGCTTTCCTCCCTGCATTTCCTAGGCAGAGTTGCTGGTGCTCTGGTCTGCCTGCCTGAGCCCAACATGAATTCCAAGTTGTTAGTATTATTTTACTGAGCAGAGCAGATTTTGTGACTTGAAACTGTGATGTTCCATTTTTGCCATACTTATAAAAACTTTCCCCCAACTTTGTAAACTTCTAAGTAATTATAGAAAAGTCACAGAGCTTCAAGAGTAACCAAAGCCAAGATTATGAGGCCCAGTAACTGAGGGAATTAGGAATTTTTCCATTCACTTGAGTTTTGGTTTAAACACTATGAAGTCAGATTCATCTGTACATAACAAATGAATGGAAAAATTCCAAATATGGACAATATGATACCATTCATGAAAACTACTGAAAAAGGTAGGGATAGGAAAGGTGTACAGTCAGAATTGCTACCAATCCTTTTTGCAAAATCTCAAAACCCCAGAAAAGGACAAGAAGGTTTCACAAAGAAACAACAGGGTAAGCCTGTAAACTCTTTTAAAGAGGATGAAAGGAAAGTGGTGTTTGTGGCCAGAACTCCCAAAGCAGATGAGAAGAGAAAGCACAGCCTGAAAAGCACAGCACTGTTGGCTGCACAGAGCCTCAGAACCTGCCTCAGTATAGGCAGACTAAAAGTAAACCCTCACATGTAGGATGCAACCTTTTCTTCCAAGTTCATGCAATGGTATAGGGAAAGAAGTGAAGGCCTGGAAAATTCAGAAAGGAATTTTCGTAGGAACTGCACCGCTTCTCTGGGAAGCCCATTTCAATATTTGACATCTCCTTAATTGAAGGAATTCTCCCCAACGACCAATCTAAAGAATTTCCTTGTGTTTTATCACTTGTCACCTGAGAAAAGGGACCGACACACACCTCTCTGAAACCTCCTTTCAGATAGGAATCAGGAGCAGTGAGGTCTCCCCTCATCTCATCTTCGCCAGATTAAACAACCCTGATTCCCTCAGCCACTCTTTATAAGTCTTGCAACACTAAAGGCTAAATCTTGGTTATTTTCAATAATTAGAATTAATAAATGAAATTCCTAATCATGCTGCATCTGCTTTTAAATTGTAACAAGAATAATGACACACAACAATGCCATGCAACTATCAACACATGACAGCTCTAGGAAGCACTGGCATCTAATAATTTGCCTGTGGAAACATTTGTTAACATTTTAAAGTAGATAAAGAAGAATACCACTTATTTGTTGAAACAGATGAGTCTCCAGGAGCCTGGACCACTGGGAAGGAAGTTGGGTATGCAGTCCAACTATCTTCTACAAACAGACTTGCTCAGCTTGGGACCAAAAATAATGAACAAGCGGGCAGCCTTGGGTGTGCAAAGACAGGCTGTGACATGGGCAGAAATACATGAGGTGGGTAGGATAAATAAAAGAAACTTTTGGAATATAGTGATGGAATTTTGCAAGGAGAATGTTCTGGGGCATTTGGGAATTAACTGTGCCAGGTGATCTTTCAGACTTTGTAGGAAAAAAGAAGTGAACATGCAGGTTACAAATGGGTATAACACAAGACAAGCCACATGTTGTCATTTTTACTTCCTCTGCAAAAGACATCCTCCCTTATGTCTCGATCAAGGAATGTGCTGTACATCATGGAAGAGGAGGCAGGATGCAGAAATTCAGTAATTTCCATTAACTGACACTAGGCTAAAACCATAATTGATTAAACAAACAAACGAAGTGGTTTGGGGAATTCTATTAGATTCTGCTTTGCTATTTACCATTCACACAAGTTCATTATAGAGTACAAGTTTGTAAGATGTCCATCTGCCTATTAATAATTGATGTAATTTAACACATGAAGTTGTGTAATCTGTTTCCTTGTTCCTCTGTAAATATAAGCTATGAATCATTGGTAACCAGTAAAGAAGCTGATTGACCACATGATGCTCTTTTCCTAACTCAAGTTGCTGACTTGCATTTAAGAGAGCTAAATGTCTACTAAGTACTCTGCGGTTATAACAAGGATACTACTGGAAAAGGAGACAATTAGTCAGTGGAGAAAGATAACATTTACTTGTGGATAAGAGTTTATAAATGTGCCTTCATCCTTTTCCAATATTCCCAAGTTGGCCTAACGTTAGATACTAAATTATCAGACATAGGCCTCGCTGGTTTTGGCCCAACATCTTGTCTCTCATAGACCTAAGGAAAACTTCAAATTACAAATAAAAGGTGCTCTTATTCTCCATATATTGATGCAAGTATTAGTACCATCTATCTACCTCACAATCACAAAAGATTTCTTACTTCCAGTACTCTTTGAAGGCAAGGAACTGACATTTTTCCTATTTGACTAATAGGGAAATAAGACACACGGAGTGTGCTGGGAATCTGACTTTGCAAGGGCTCTTAATTTTACTATTTCAACCATTTCTGTTAATGATCATATGTGTGTTTTTCACCAACACCAACATTTTCACTCAGTGAGTGTCACTTCCTTTGTTAGCTCCAAATGTGCAAAGGTTGAAAGAGTGTTTTTACTAGTGAAAAATCTTTCAAGAACTTTTATAAATTATTCAAACTTCTGGTTTAAACTGAGTTCCCTAAAATGTTTCCTTTCACACACTTTTTAGTGCCAAATACAACCCATCTGGAATCATTATTAATTCTGTTGAACTGTATAATTCCAAGCAGTATTGCAAGTGCTGGTTTTTTTTTTTTTTTGGTTTTTTTTTTTTTTAAAGAACGAATTGATTCAGTGTTTTATAACCATAATTGGAATAGAGCGCTAAGACTCAACAGCTCATTTTTTTATTCCGGGAAATGGCAAACAACACATCTTGTACTCAATCAGCTATATTAACAGAGCAATGCTGAAAAATCTTGTATCACGTAGCTATCATCTACATTTAACGTTTCTTGTTCAGTTATTTTCCATACACTCAAGTTAAAACATCCTTGGAGGTTTTAAGAAAGCGTAGTGAACAGATCAGAAGTCTGCCCTACACACTTCAGTGGGCACATCAGACAATTAGAAAAATAGATTCCCTGCTACTGAAGTTCCCAATCAAAAAGCCAAGTATACTTCTCTATATACAAATTTCAATCAAAATGTTAATTCCTGGTTCACCATCAGAAATACCATTAAATGCAGTTTGCAAGAAGCCTTTCAAAAACAAACAAAGCAAAAAAAAACAAAGGCAAAGCTTGTGAATGAGTGTTTTCATGTCAACCTGTTTATCTAGTTCGTTACTGTATTAAGTACTGCCCTTAAGCTTGTGAATTATTTCCAGGATTTTGCATACACACTTAAGTGAAGAGAACTGTGAAATCCTGTTGTCGTTAACATAAGTAGCACAACTCCCATTGACTCAAATCCAGAAAGGTCTTCATTCAGATCAGCTTGCAGTTTACACTACTCCATGTTGCAGACACTTCGGTTGCAAGTTCGGCTCTTTTATGGCTGTGTTGGGGAAAGTTGTGTCTCTTCCTCGTCTTTATTTTTAGATGTCAGGGAATTTTTCATTGAGAGAGTGGTGAGGTGCTGGCACAGACTGCCCAGAGAGGTTGTGGATGCTCTACCCCTGGAAGTATTCAAGGCCAGGCTGGATGGGGCACTGGGCAGCCTGAGCTGGTGTTTGATCTAGTGGTTGGCAACCCTACCAGTGGAAAGGAATGGAACTAAGTGATCTTTGAGGTCCTTTCCAACCCAAGTCATTTTGTGGTTATAAGATTCATACCTCCACAGGATTGCACAGCTTATCTGGTGCAACCAGCCCAGTGAAGGGCAGAGGCTGCATCCACCACAACTTGTAGATTGAAGTATCAAACTTTCATTCTAGGTGACAAGTGCTCAGATACAGAGATCTATACCTATGGAAGCAGTCAGTTTCAGAGTGATACAGTTATGAACTCACAGCCAGACTGTCATGATACAAACCAGGCTCAGTACTTATTTCTTTGGATGCTTTTCTGGTACAATTTACTGTTACATGAAAGATATCCAAAACACAGATAAAAGGAGAACTTTTCCAAGTGCAAAATCCCCTCCAACTATTAGCCATAAACTCACCATAAAGTAAGACACCACTTATGTCTCTGGTTCAAAGCCTTGCTCAAAATAGAGTCAACTTTGAATTAAGATGAGGCCACTCAGGACCTTATCCAAGTAAGTATTGAATATATCCAAGCATGGAGAGCCCACAGCCCCTCCGAGAGCCTGTTCTAGTGCTTGATTACCTTCATTGTAAAGATCTTCTTGTACCTTAACAGTGTTTATCTCATTGCAACCAGTGTCCACTGCCCCTGGCCTTTCTGTTGTACACTTCCAGATAAGTCTGGCTGCACCTTCTCTCTGACCACTTACATAGTCTCAGAGAACAGAGAGATCCTCCTTTAATTACCTTCTCTCCAGGATGAATAACCCAGGTTTGTTGATCTGCCCTCATATACCATATGCCCCAACAACCTGACCATCCTAGCATCCCTTGCTGTACTTGCTCTGGCTTGTCCATGCCTACACAAGTGTGGAGCTCCAGACTGGACACAGCCCCGCAGATATGGTCCTGATACAGAGCAATGGGAGTAATCTCTTCCCTTGAGGTTC